GGAACACTGGTGAAGTTTTAGGACAAAGTGTTGATGATCTCCATATGGATCCAACTGTAAAAAGATTAGGGCTCACTAGAAGGATTTAAAAACAACATGGAAACCCCAAATTCGAAAATTTTTGTTTCTTTTTTCTTTGCCATTTAAGGTTTCAACCACGCCTTCACGACACCCATATTTACCAAACTCCCATCTATGAAAATGTACATAATTTTTGGCATATCTGCCACAGCCATATGCATATAAAAGAAGAAAAGGGACAGAAATTATTACCACCAACTCGAAGGAAACCATTTGACATCTTCCAAATCCATGTCTTTATATACATAAAACTCCCAAAGACTTCAAGACTTTTGACAACTATTTACCTGTTCAAACACAAGAGATTAGGAAGATAGCAAAGATGTTAGATTCTATCACTATTTGTTTAGAAAATAATAAAGGTGTGACGAGGACTCACCGTAGAGATTATACAGAGACCCGACGCTTTGAGTGTGACTCCGAGAGACTTAATCGCCTACAAAGGATGCCATACCACACACCATCTCGTCTCCCTGTAGTTTCTCTGTGTTGCTGGTGACGTTTAGATGATTACCATTGGTAACTTCATCTAACTTCATCAGGTGTACTTCTTTTGGATCTGCTACTGCTTTACAGTGTTCTTCACGCAAAGCAAAACCGAACTTCGTAGGGAATTTTTCTGTAGAGAGCATCTGCTCATTGAATGTAATATCGGTGTGAACAGGTGGTGCGATCAAGCCATTTGTCATGTGCTTTCCCATCCGGGTTTCTTCGAGTGTAGAGAGTTTGGCTGTTACATGTTTCTCAACCAACCCATTTTTGTTCTTCTTTTCTATTTCCTTGTAGATCCCATTTGATGTTGGGTAAAGGGTTAAAGAAGACTTGAATGAGTTGTTCATGTGATCCGAATCATGGAAATTCTCCATCTGTTTTGATGAACCTATTTCAATTAAACCAAATGGTTACTCGCACATGACTTGAAAGGAAAAAAGCGCTATATTTCTATCTCTTAACAGGTGATGAATAAACACATAATTAATAACTAGGGAAAGGTATATTGACTTACGCTCTTCAGAACTTTCAGCGGATTCGACTGATCCAGGCTTAGAGTGACAGTTGATTATATCTTGGCATATCTTTCCATTAGCTTGATAAGATCCCGATGCCGATGTGTTATAACATTTCATGGAAAACCTATGTCAAATGTTCCATGATTCAAAGCATGAGATATGAATCAGGGAACATAAAAGCGGAAAAGATAATTATCACGCTAGAAACTTTCATCTAAGAAATGCGTAATACAAGAAGAGAGCAAATAGTTTTCCAACATTGGGACTACCTGTCTTCCAATGTTGCATTGGTGCTGTGGTAATGGTCAAAAACTGGCAGCAGTTTTTTCTGTTTTATTTCAAGTTCATGGGCTGGGAACTTTTCTATCTCAAACTCTCCACTAATGTAACCATTCTCTCTTGGAGAGTCCATCACATGAAAAGAAATCTAGCATCACATCAAGACAGTAAAAATCAAGAGACAGCTACAGCTATAAGCAAGAAAGGGAGAGTTTTTGACGAAAAATACCTTCGAATTTTGCCACACAGGTAGCATCCCTGAGGTAACCTTTACCTCAAAGTTAGAAAGATAGCAATGGGATCTTTCAGGGGCTTTCTCAGAACAACTTTTCAAATACCTCTCTTCACCAAAATTGTTATTGATGTCAAGGGAAAGACATGCATCCTCATGGGTTGGTAAGTTATTTGACACGGTATCCAAATTGTATTGCTTTTCAGTGATACTTTTGGGAAGTCGTTCCTCTGTTTCCAGCCAGTCAGACCTCCTACATACATCCCACCACTGAATAGGCTCAACTTTGACCCTCAAGTCATCCTCCTGAACTTGAACATGTGATGTTCTTTGCACTCTCGAACCATTTTCAGGTGATTCTGTGTAACCTGATGGCAAAAGTTCATGCTGCACCACATGGCCTGATGGAGTATAGACTAAGATATGCTCCAACGAGTTAGCTCTGGAGTTTTCTTGAAGGTCATGTGTAACCGATTTGTGAAAAACAGCAGCCACCGCGCCTGATGGTACAAAAACTTTTCCAGTTGCAGCAGTGGCAGCATTGCTTACTGTATTAAGCCACCCAAAACTGCTATACTTTATTCTGCTTACTACAGAAAGGGCAACAGCTGGTGGTGGCGATAAAGACTGCTGATTATTTGACAAGGATTGAGTAAACCACCATGGCAAAGATGAAGCTGAAAGTCGGGCAGGCTCCTCACCCTCACAATTCAAAGGTAGAAACCCAGCATCGCTGCCAGATGGGTTTAAAACGAAAATATGGCAAGTGCCCTTGGATGAAATAATAGCCACCCACTGACTGTGATGACTAAAGCAAATGTCCTGGACAATCTGTTAAAAAAGGCAGAAAAACTCCAATCAAGAAAGTGCACATTAAAAAGAAAGGACATATGTCAATTTAAAAGTATACTAACAGCTGAAGTGATCCCTCTATGCAGCTTGAAGAGATGCACATGAGAAGATTCCCACTCATAAGTTAGGTCACCAGGTACACTATGTGAACGAGATGGCATGATCTGAAAGACATTGATATTGTTCCCACACACTGAAGCAGTAACCAATAAGGTTCCACTAGGATCAAAACAAAGTGCTGAGATAGGACTAGTATGCGCCTTGAACTGTGATACGACAGCTCCAGAAACAATATCTTTGACAGCAACCTGTTGAACGAACATTCAAAATGTATCACAATCTGGCAATAAAATAATCCAAAACACTAGCAAGGGAACGAAGTCGAAGCAAGTGGCTATTGATTAAGATCTTTAATTCAGGAACCCTAGTAATAAGGCATGCTTTGAGTATCTCTGCCATGCCTGAGTAATGACTGCTAGACGAATCTAGTGGAAGAGAATAGCGTGACTCAAGAATTGCTCACAATGTTCAGATCCAAAATAAAACTAACCATTCCAGCATTCTCTGCATCCGATCCAGCAACCCCACCAACTTTCCAGATTGAATTTGGTGATGCTGGAGAATTAGATCCGTCAGGGAGCATTTCTTGGTAGTATCTTGACAACGTTTTGTATCCCATGTCCCCCAAGTTGATTAGTCCATTGGCTATCTGCTTGCTAGACTCCATCGCATAACGGGCCATCACACTACTTCCACCTGTCGATCTACTTGGACTGACACTGGGTGAAGAAATAAAATTCTGAGGGCTTAGGCGCCCTGTTTTCATGGTTATGGAACTTTGGGAAGCATATGCAAGCCACCTTGGACCTACAGCCATCGGACCATAGCCAACATTGACCCCAGTTGTCCCTTGTCTAACTGGCTGAGGAACAGGATAGGTGAGAACACTGAACTTAGTTTGCAGAGTAAGCGCGTCAACGCAATAAATCTGCACAGACCAAATAGAAACCATCAGAGTAAGGCATAAGGACAAAAGATAAATCTGTTACGCTCAAGTATAACGTTATACTCGGCCTGTAGATACTATGTTCAATGCAAGAAAGGTTTGTTTGGTCTCAATACCAAATACAAAACACTTACCATGCCAGTCAAATATGATGAAATATTATTGGCATTGAAGAATTTATCACAAGAATCTGAATATCTATAAGCACACCGATACTCACTTGAGTTGCAAGACCAACAGCTACTACTCGGGAGCTGCATCTAATCATGCAAACAGATGACCGAAATCTCAGGACATATACATAACTGTGAGACCTAAGGGAGTAAAAGCGAACAGTGGTAGGATAACTGGTGGCATCCCCGGAAGAGTCTGCTTTACCATCTCTCGCTAATGAACCATTATGCGAAAAACTGTGACCCGATCCTGTGACAGTAGTGTCATCCCCAGCAACAACCAGTAACAGAGGATGTGAGTTCCAAAAACCCTCATGATCACCAGACCTCGCAGGCAATGGCTGCATCTGTAAGAATGAGACTGGACCACCTCGTTTAGAGACCAGTTCATTAAAATTAGAGGCATCCTCAACATCAAAGACTTGAAAGCCATTCTGATAGCCGAGCAAGAGAACATGTCTGGTGACATGTTGACTCAGTTCAAGAATGCCAAAGCCAGCCCATGTCACCTGCACATGAAAGCAAAGTTCAGATGTTTGTGCACAAAGTAGTCCCTCCATTAGAGGAAAACAAAGTGCCAATAAAAACCATCAAAACGAACCTAGGCTATTCATTCTAAGAACCCTAAACTTCAATCAACATTTAATCTATGGAAGTACGAAAGATACTAACTATGAAGCTAGATGAGAGATGCACATAAAGAACAAAACAGATTAGATGAGACATAGGCCATAGGTATATGTATCTACTTTTCTAATCTACAAGTGAAAATATTGCAATCCCCATTTCACTGAGTTTCCAACAGGGAAACGGAACTGGACATCTAATTCGAAACTAGCCAACCATAATCAACAAACTCAACACAAAATTTAAGATTAAAAGAAAGAAGCACTTGCAATTTTTTACTCAGCCTACGTATCTCAATCCTTTCCAGACACAAATAACCCACCAACCACCACTTCACTAATAGTTCCAAACAGGAAAGAATCCCAATCACGTCCTAGCTTTTAAACGATATCACACAATAGCAAAAGCTTGAACACAACAAGAGCAAGCATCAAATAGTCACTACGAAATCAAAAATCATAAGGACCTGATCTTTATCATCTTCTGCAGCAGATATTGAAGCGGCGACGGATGCTCCAGCGGAACGAACCGACGACGCAACGTTGGTGGCGTTGGCCGATACAGTTTTGAGGCAAGAGGATATAATCTTAAAGGAATTAGGTAACAAACCACTATTCTTCCCTTTCCCTTTCTTCATCATCTTCTAACCACAACCTAAGAGAGACTAACCACAACGAGCAACAAACTCACAACCAAAGCAAAATAAGAAAAAAAACGAACATCGCTCCGATCATCCACCGCCACCGTCATCACCGTCTGCTTCACCGGTCACCAAAACCTCCGAATCAACCACGGAGCATCTCCGCCGATAACCACCGACGAACAGAAATAACATCCGATGATGAAATCCGATGGATCTCTCTCTCTACCGATTGAAAACTCCTTGAGTAGAGTTTTGACTTCAATCAAAAGCTGATAATATCAAACAGAAACAAT